CAAAGATCCCTTTCCTTAAGGTTGTTCGCATCCAAATTATACTTATAATTCAAATTATGATAACCCACATGCATTATCTTGCATTTATTATAATTAAAACCCATCTGCCATTTATTCACACAACTCACTAAATGATTTAAGTCCTTTTGTAAAGCAGCAACACCCATCCTAACACTTACTCTTTATGTATTTAAATACATCCTTAATGTTCATTTTTACATTTTCAGCCAACCTTTTTTTTTCACATGCCCTTTTTGGTTTCCTAATTTCTTGTTTGACCAACTCTCTCTTGATCTTCTATGATTCTCCAAGTCCAATGTCATAACAGTCAATTTAAGCTTTTTAAACTTGTGCTTTTCTATAATTTTATCCTTTATACCCTTTGTGAGCCAAACTTTAACTTTCAGCCATCCTTCTGTTGTTTTCTATAAGGAATGTTTACCTTGAATACTTAAAAATTTATTCCTCATTTCATCAGTGTCTTTAATTAATTCAATTGCCCAATTTACAACAGATAATTCTTGTGTCATCCCTTCAGAATTTGCTTGTTTGAAATTTGCAACCAGTCTCATTAGTACTGACCTCCATATGCAGTAAAACATCAAATCACAATGGTCTAAACTCAGCTCGCATTCTCTGCAAGACTTAAAACTGCAAGGGATCATTTCAAAAAGAGAATGACATTACAGATCAGAATTGACCTGTACTTGTCAGCAGTCAGGGTGCCACCAATTTTGTGTTGACTCTATTGGCTAAGATGTAGCTCCAAACCTGCACTGTTACCAGCCATGCTTCACTGCAAATATACCTTAACTATGATACCATTCTCTCTCCACTATCAAACAGTCACTGATTGTTGCCAAACAATTAAAACTTGAAATTATATGTAAAGAGAATATATATCCAGTTTTGTTCATTCCACTGTTTATGGTCCAATGCCCATTTCAATCTTTTGGTTTGGTTACTTCTTCTCAGCAACAATTTCCAAGCAGCTACACATTTATTAAGAATACTTCATTTTAGTGTATATCAAACTGTTCTGAAGGTAGCATTTAAGCCTTTATTTACAATAACATTATTGGTAGGATCTGTATTTGACCATCATTTATTTCAAAGAACTTACCCCAAAAATCTATGCAACTACTTATTGTATTAACATTGCATACAGATCCTACTGAAACATAGTTTTGCTGCAATTTTAACAAGTTTGTCATGTGGTATTTCAGTTCTGTGAACCACAAAAGGATTCAAACTATTACTACTACTATTGGACAAAGTATGACTGCCTGTATGGTTATAGCCTTTATACTGGTAAAGCATTTTCTGATTGGTTGAATGATGACAATCAATCACAGTGTAAGCCATCTACATGTGACTGTAGTCGTTGCAGTTCAATTTTACACAGTAAAGAGGTGAATTCCCATAGTTTTATTCCTTTTATACTCTACCCTCTATCTGACAGTTTATAAAATCATTTCCAACACTAAATATTAATGAAAAACAGAATAAATGGGCTTGAAAATGGCAAATCTCATTTTAATGTTATTTCAGTAAACTATACAATCAACAAAGAGATAATATTGCAATAAAAACTAATATAACAGTGAAAGCTTGTCACACTTAATTCTGTGGTTAAATATTTTGAAAGGAAAATATCAGCAAATGATCATTTACATCAAAAGACACTAAAGTATAAATGCTTATGTTACAACAGAAGTGTTAAGGTGGCACTTATAATACGTGAAAAAAGCTTTTCATTCCAAAACAGTCACTTAGCTATTTATATGTGTATAAATAGCAAAATACAATATTTATAAGACCACACACAAACATTTCTATAGTTTATTTTGGAATGTTTTAAGCAAGAAAACTGCTTCTTTAGTATAAAAAACCTAGAAACAAATTAATAAATAAAATTATTTAGAATATCAAATAAACTTTAATTTCTACAAATATGCTATTAATTACATATAATAAAATACTTAAAATTACATTAACAAGTACTAAACTTTGATAAATAACAATACAGATATTTTAAAATTTTATTCTGCTTCACATATTAATAATTTCCTGATAAGAAAAAACTTTTTAAAAATTTTTTTAACTAATGAGCCATAGGAAAAAAGTTTGACTTTTGCTGGCAAATGAAACATTAAGTAAAAACTAAAATTAGTTTGAATTAATGTTTGACATACATGGATTAAAAATTGTATCAATGATATATTGGTGAAAAAACAGAAGAAAAAAAAAAGATACTGCAGTGCCTATGCTCCTATCTTGCATTCCTAAAACTTATTTTAAAATAAAAGCCAATAAAAAATATTAATAAAGTACAACAATTAGATACACAACTGGAGCCTGAAGTGGCTAATAGGAAAAGGAGCCTGAAGTGGCAACACTTCTGTTCAATATTTACAAAAAGTACTTTTACAATCACAAAAGCAAATTATTTCGAAATTTCCTTTAATGAAAAATAAAACGATAATTTATTACTGAAGTATTAAGTGAAAATAATGAATTTTAAGTATCTATGTTCCTCTATCACTATCACTGTATCGTTATACGTGAAGATCTTCTAGTCCTACAACCTACCAGTACCACCATAAAATAGCTCTTATCAACCTCATACATAAATGTGGTAGTATCCTTTTAAAATGGATAAACGTAGTCTAATTGAGTTTATCATATATGAAACATTGTACTTATATTAGATCATGTAAATCTAAAATTCTCGTCATGAATTTACAGTAGGTAGTGACATAAGTATGTCACTTTTAATCTTAACCTTTTATTTTTAACAGTTTATGCAACTTTTCGATAACTTAGCATTCTTGATCGCAAAATAAATAAATAAGTTAGGCCTATAACTAAAACGTAATTTATTACGTTTACGCACAAATGTCGAACTCAAAACTACTAATCTATTTACCAAGAGAAACTGGAAATTCTGGAACACACGCCTGATAATCTTCCCCAATTCGCATTCCGGAGTCTGTGAAAGCAAATATATACCTAACGTTTAGCACCTTTGTTATAAAACTAATAAATGACGATATCGATAAAACACACAAAAGTTAACATTTTAAAATGCGAAAATACAATTATCTAATATAGTATCAACTTGGATTTCAGCTGTACTGTAAAATTTTAAACATTAAATTATTACGTTAAAGGCAATTTTGGTCTACTTTGTCATTCATTACCATGCTCCGAATCATCTGTCGTGCTGTCTTCATCTGAGAAATGGCCATTATTTGCTGGACTTGCACCGCGAGATCTACGACCATTTCGCGTAGTTAACTCTTCACCATTCCTTTCTGCCAAAACCATTTTTGAAACAAACTTGAAAATAACAAAAAATAAAAATAAAGTATATACTACAACCGTGTTGTTATATGTACTCTTCGCGTTCTACGAAAACCAGTATCGTTATTCACCTCCGTAGTTTCTGAGTAACTGCTTACATTACTTGAGGCCAAATAGAAGACAGCGTGAAAAAGAACGGGTAGTATCCTTTCAACAAAGAAATTAGTTCCACTTTTAACCAAGTTTATAAAGATAACTTTCTATTAATTTGAATCAGATATATCATTTAAGCAAAATAGTTGTACTTTTATGTGTACTTACTTTTTCTTACTTCACAGAATATTATTTTTAAGGCAGTTATATAAACGAGTAATAGGTAAGCTTGCAGAAATTATTTCCATGAAAATAATTATTTTAGACGAAAACAATCAATCATGTAAACAAAGCAACTGAATAAAGAACTAATAAGTATTCCAAAATCAAAAGATGTTACTGACTGTTCTTTGTAATAGTCAAAATAGTAAAACAAAACTCGTGATTGTTTAGCGTACCTTGTCGTAGCTTGTTTTATCCTCCGTAGTTTTTCAGTTCGCCATATTATTATCTATTGCCTTCATACTTATTTATATTAATATACTACATGTCATCAGGCAAAATAGGAATAATAACTCATACTTCACCAAAGATAGTTTGTTCTTTTTTATCGTCCTCTTTTATTTTCTAAACAAAATTATTTATCATGGTTAGTATTTAGTCACAAATATATTAGATTTCTATTTGGAGCCGCTAGGGATGCGTTGTTCGTAGGCTGTATTATTACACACGTAAGAAAAAAAAAAGGGCATTATATTTTCACAGATTAAAAGTAATACATGTATTTTATTGTTTTGGAGAGATAAATAAATACAATTTGAATTCAATGTATACAGTTTCAGCTTACATACAGAAAACATATAAGCATCCATAACTAAAATTGCTGGAATTTAAAGAGCTGTTAAAGCTGATTTCCACATTATTTTTGAATATATTTGAATATCTCCCTAAAATATATCAAATAACAATCTACATAAAGTTATCGATAAAGTTATTTTTCTAAAAACTGTTTGGCCAAATAAAAAAAAAAATGTACAAAAAAAACCCTAATTCAACTATTGCTGGGGGAAGGGCATTTTCTCGTCTTTAGATTAATCTTACAAATAAACTATCTTCTCTAAATTCTCACCTACATGTTAATAACGATAACATTATATGGTTCGTATACTGTAAAACATCCTCTATTCATAGTAATGCGACTTTTCTCTTTTTAAATCCAAGTTAAAACATCACCGTACCTACAGGTACACACAGTATAAATAATAAATTTGAAGGTCTACTTCACAGTACATGAACCGGAAAATAATTTCATTGAACAAAGAACAGCAAAATGTGCAGAACGCTCATAAATAGTACGAAGGTTTAGAAACGAAATAACGAAACTAACTACCCGTAAAATCGATAACTATTATTTTTTATTTGATAATATTCTTATCCATTCCAGTTGTTAATATCGCTAACAATAAAATAATTAGAGGTCCTTAATTTGTAATAATTAACACACACAAATACAACAAAAGAGCATCCTGACGATGCATTTAATTATCTTATATGTGACTAGGATTTATTTGTCTGTGTTTTAACGCAAATCTACATAATGGACTATCTGAGCTGTGCCTATCATGGATATCGAACCCGATTTTTAGCGTATAAGCCCTTTAGCTTACTGCTGAGCTAGTAGATAGCTCGTGAATAAAAGTAACTTTTCAAAACTCCATTAAACCTTTTAAATTAAATACCGCGAAAAGCATGATAATTTATTTTGAAACTCAAATCGAGACAAGTTAACTTAGCATTAAACATTTGCAACAGATTTGAGTTCTTAAGAAACTGCAAAAATCATAAAAACATTCTACATATATATATAATATTAAATGAAATTAATAATTATAATATATTCTTATGTGAGAGCTTGATACTCTCACAATATGCGGAGTAATAAAAAATAGCTTTTATTATAACATAATCGCCATTTCATCTAGCGAGCTTTATTGTTTTGTGAAACTTGAAACTCGTCTATAATTTTTGTTTGAAGTTTCCATTTACTAGTGCTAAGAAGCTTGGAAAGATTGTTGTATAAACAAATATATTAGTTTTTGCTTTTATTTCATTGTTTTTTAATTTAACAACTTCATAAGTTAGTATTAGAATATTATTCTAAAACTTTGATGCCGATAAAACATTTTTAAACCTTTAATATCCAGCTACTGTTAATTCAGAACCCTATGTGCATGGTCGATATCGAGTCATATATGGCACCAGAACACGCGTATTAAACTAATATCGATCTCTCCGCATGAACTCCATGACAAACATCCTTACGATTTTGGTGAAGCCTTCCTTAATTTTGAATTACTAACTAAAGAGAGAGCAGCCAGCCAGCAGTATACGCTGTCAAGGGAGCTGTATCTGGGCTGGCTTTTTCAGCCGATTAACTGCCACGTTTATAACTCGTCTACAGCTGAAAGTGTTTGGCATGTTCAGAAGCATTATATTTTTAAGTCTTCGATCCACAGCTCAAAACGCTAACCACTTGTTACACCCGGCCCAAACCTAGAATGCTTAAAAGCAAATATATAAGATAATTGAAATCTTGGTTAACTTGCATTAATTTTTATGATACACGAGAGTTTATTTGAACTGAAGAACACTTTTTACGTAAATTTTTTTCCTTTCGCAGAAATTATACATTTAAAAACCTTGAAAAAAATTCAATTTGTTATTGCACTTACTTCAATTATGTAAAACTATTCTTTACAGAAAATTCAGAGTATTCCGTAATTACTTTGCGTAACATAGATGGGCTAATGATCAGGACGGTAAACAAGGAAGATAATTTTTACCCATGTTCTTACATATAAATATTGCTTTGAATTCTAAAAACAATGTAACGTTCCTTGTTATGGTATGAGCCCCCTTCTAATTTAGCGAAGCATTATCAGTGGATATGGCGGACATAGTGTACTATTATAAATTCTTCTTCTTGAAAAATCTAAGGGACTGAATAAAGAAAATTTTGTTAAAAATACAATAGGCCTTATACTACTGTCCTATGACATGTTTAATTAGTGTAACGTTCATTTTCAATAACTTTAGTTTTTTCTTCTTTTTTCAGTTCCCATATCTATCTCATTAAACAATGAACGTAAAACTAAGAAAATGTATTCCTCAGAATATCCCCACTAACGCATACCCACACACAAATCCCGAGATTTATCGGATTGCAGTAAAATATGCTATAACATTTCGGCTCGGTATTGTTCACAACTGTTTTAGCTGAAAACCAACTGCAGTACTTAAGTTAAGATAACTTTCCCTAGTCTGCTGATAGAAATGAGTTTCTATATATATTATAAACAAATACATCCAATAAATACCCGAAAATTTGAAAACAATCGTAGAGCGTTGCGCCATCTATTGAATATATATTTAAGATTGTGAATGTCCCATAATACATAATGTCCTTCAACTTTCTCGGTGGATTCAAAAAGGTTTCGGTCAACCTCCTTTGGAAGAACACAATACCCAAACTTTGAAAATAAAATTATAAAACAAAACATATTCATGCTAGTGCGCTATAATTATATATATATATATATATATTGCACATAAAGTCTTCAATTTATGCCAAAACAAAACCTGCTCTATTTCGTGTTGTCAGTAAGTTCGTTATAGCCAAAAATAATAATAAAATAAACTATTTATTAAAACTTCCACGCTACTACTTGCCACTTTTGGAAAATATAAATAACAAAAATTCAACAGACATTACTTAGGATTTAATACTTTCAAGTTTGTTCAACTATTGACAAAGCAGCATTCAAATATTAGGCTTAATAGTATTTCAATAATGAGGAAATCATTAAAAGGTTGTTATTAATTTTTTCATATATATTTAAGCAGTTATAATTTTAATTCTTGTTAAAACTTTGAATGTACATACTGTGAATATGCACAGTAATTTCTTTACTTTTAAAGAAAGAGCATAAATACTTACAACTACAAGCATTTCACAGTACAAATATGGAAGGTAGAAATATTTTGAGAATTAACTGATTAAAGAAACTTTTTTTTAAGGAGATATTAATTACCTAAAAGAGAAAAAAAAACGAATTCACAACCAGCACTAACATCAGAAAATGATCTTTAGGTTTTATTTACTTTGATCTGTTTAGTGTACAATTTCCAAAATATAAACAGTATATAAATGTGTATTTGCCAAGTTTAGACTCTTCGAGATAATATTTTTACCATTTTCTTATCCTGCATAATACGTTCTGTAAAATGATTAGTACAAGGTAGTCTGTATGTTAAAGCATATTGTATGATAAATACTGAAGAACTTCAAGGACATACACACAGCCTAAACAATTCAACATTAAATTGTTAGTTCCAGCACACTCGTCGAATTTGTTACCAACTTTTAATCAATGTAGAAAAGATGGTACAGTCTTATATTTGTCCATTTCTTCAACACTGAATTACTACAATTTATATCTTTATCTCAGTACTATCTGAAAAAGTAACTTATCAAGGTAATAGTACATATTATTTGAGGTAATTATGTCTGGAAATATCAGTTTAATATTAAACTAACCTGAAGTTTACATCAAGTCTCTACTTTACAATTTTATTTGTATTAAACATATTAAGAGTTATTATTATTATTTTTGCCTTTATGGCATATTTTAGATAAAACTGTAATTACTCTGGTGTCCAAATTAATGGAGTTTAATAATTCTTGTAAAATAAAATACATTTTCCAAACAAGTTTCCATGCATATCACAAAAACTGAAAATAGTCCCTTGTCAGCTTCTTATGTAGTATCCAAAGACAGTTCCCAAATAGGGGTGAATTTTTTCTGGAAGATACCATAGAATTTCTGAACAACACAACAAAGCTCAGAAATGTCACTTTGTTACACAGAAAAGCTTCTGATAATTTTTGGTAACACAATTAGGTTAAAAACAGAGGAGCTTTAAGTACAAATGTAATGTATACATTGCACGGGTGTAGAATTAAAAAAAAATACGAAGGGACAAAATGCAAGAAAATTCCACTTGTTATTCTTAAAAAAATGCTAACTGCTCCCTCCCCATCTCACAAAACACACA